TTCCCTACAAACCTCCACACCTTGTCTGGTCAGGTTGTTCCAATATATGGAAAATATTTTAACATATGACTGCAATTTAGTTAGAATGATTACTTAAAGGCTCAACACAATTAGTGTAAACCCAAAACCTATCCCTTCAAAAGACATTTAACTGGGCATATGCAAGTAACCACGTGTCTCCTCTGTTAGGTGGACGATGACCCAAATTGTACAGTTTTGCTGCTGAGCTGAGCAGAGCGTGTTAGCTGAGGGACTGTTACCTGATAGGGCTGATGGGAGACTGTCGTACCTTCTCTTCGTGCTCTGGCACTCGTTCCCAATGAAAATCTAGTTTCCAATCAAAAACACCTCGATGCAGGCTCACAGAGTGATAGTACTGAAAAGTCTTCCAGTCTATAACATCTATGACAGGGGAGACGACACTGTTTCTGGAAAAGACAATATAATTTCTTTTCAAAGCCAAAGCACAAATTAAGCTAACTACGCTGTTGGTAAACAGTGGTCCTCTTTGACACTGTCAGGCACAAGCAATCCTCTACATGGTCAGTGCCCTTACTTTCCCTGCTCAGGTGCTCAGTGCATGGAAATACTGGGCCTGCAGTGAGGAATCTAAAGATCAACAATTTATTGATCACCTGTACCTTGCATTGCTACTTAAAGCTATTAAGGATCTTGCTATGCATTAACGATCAGCATTCTTATAAAGCTAATTTCACACAGAGGCCCTGACCTCTGATGTTACAGGCTCTGCATGGATGCAAAGTTCACAGAAAAAGATAATTTTGGATATGAGATGTGCACTCTTCATTGGCCTGAAGTGACAAACTCTTGAAGCGTGTGGAACATCTACAGGAAAATCAAAGGATGGTAAAGCCTTGATGAGGAAGACCACATGTGCATACCCAAGATACTCCAGACAGAAGCAGCACAGATACTCAGTTATGCCTAGATATATTCTGGATCAGGTGATCCAGACATTTCAGGCTATCCTGCATTTTCATACAGATTTAGCCATTCAAAACCTGTCCTTTTTTTTTTTTATCCATACATCTCATATTTGTTGCAACTATAAATCTTCAAACTGTAACGATGCTTTTGGCATTGGTGCAAGTGTTTGTAGGAGTACACAAGTTGAAATAACCCCTTATTTTTAATGCATGATTTTGCTTTGCTTGTGTCCTGGTTCCGTGTAAAAAGGGGTTCAGGGCAGGACCCACAGGGAACAGAACTATGTACTCGCCTCTCCCCCCCCTGAGAGAGAGAGAGACACTTTGGAAAAAAAAAATGAAGTATATTATTCAACAAGGAACAGAAAACGAAAAAGGGAGGTAAGGAAAATAATATATACAAAGATTAGGGGAATAATACAAAAAATAAAATATACAAAACCCTCAGAAATGGTTCCAGGGTCCCACGGAGTGAAAGGACAACTTTCCTCTCCGAGCTCCAAGGCAGGAGTGAAATTGGAAACCACTCCCTGCCTCTTATCAGAGTGTGTGTGGGAAGGGGAGGGAATACAATGTTTTCACCCCCACTCGGGGTCCTCCCAGTTGCTGGAAGGTCACGACCCCATTCCAAGCCTCAAACCACAACAGCTTGTTATTGGGCATGGATTCTTCCATGCCATTCAAAAAAAATACCTGCAGGGATATAATGGATTCTGATGGTTTGGAGACCAAGCAATTACCCAAACTACCTGCAAATTATGGCATGGAAAGTTACAGTGTTTAAGACAGATGAAAATACCTCACCAGACAGGTCAGATTCTATCCTGTTCAACAATAAATCAGAATAAAATAAAATCTAATCTCATCACCTACAAAACTATACAGTACAAACTGGTAACTGTGGTTTAGAGCTACTGCTCCAGTAGCTT